TTGCAAGATGATACAATAGTGGCATATCAAAAATATTAAGTGAAATAAGTCCTTCATTAGTTAAGATAGTCCTTTATTCAGAGCCTACTGACCAAGGCCAGGACATATTTATTTAACGATAATCTAACCTAGACTTGAGTCAAACTCCATCTGTATTTGAGTGCCAATGTATTAAAAAGTGAACTTAATTAAAATTTCATTGGTGTAAATGTTTAAGTTTATAAAAGCTTACGTCTATCAAACCAGAAATGACATACTCATTAATTTCAGCATTCATTTATTGTTTGTATTAATTTCTAAATGTAAAACATGTAATTGTTAGCACTACTATTGAGTCACTTCTGACTCATAGCAACCCTATGTACAACACAATAAAGCACTGCAGTGGGTTCTAGAGTGTCAGAGATGATGAGGATGGCATAGGATAGGGCGGGGTTCAGGTCAGCTGTTCATGGGGTCGCTGTGAGTTGTACTGGATTTAACGGCAACCAACAACAACAACAGTTCTGCAGTCTCCACAGTCATTGCTATGTTTGGACCCTTGTTCCCAGCACTGTGTCAATCCATCTGGCAGATCTTCCTCTTTCCAATGATCATCCCCTTTCCCACACATAACATCTCTCCCCAAAGATTGTCCCCTCTTAATAAGATGTCTAAAATATAAGTGACAAAGTCTTAACCATCACTGCTTCTAAGGAGCATTCTAGCAACACTTCTTTTTTTAAAAAAAATGTGTTTGTTTTTTTACAACAGCCCATGATCCAATCAGTATTCTTCACCAACACCAAAATTTTAAGTTCCTTGCTATCAGTATTCATTGCTGGACTTTCATATTCAGGCGCTTAAAAAGACCATGACTTGGATCGAGTATGCAATCCACCTTAATCTTGGAAGTGACATCTCTGCTTTTGGATACTTTAAAGAGGTTTTTTGCAGCAGATTTACTAATAGATTATTGGATTTCTTGACTGCTGCTTCTTTAAACACTTATTGTAGACTCAAGTAAAATTAAATTCTTGACAACTTCAATCTTTCTCCCCAGATCTTACGATGTTGTAAATTAGTACAATTGTGATTTTTTTTCATTTTCTACATATATTAACAAAATTATAATTACTATGCCATTTAATGTATGTAAGCATACCTATAAATATATTTAGGGACAAAATATAACTGAAAACTTCTAAATTAATATTTCATCACATGTGATAGGTGCTCATAACAAATAGTTAATTAGTTCTAATTTGGGTGTCTCTGTTTTGAGTGGCTTCTTCAAAGAGTTTTACTTTAATCTATTTAAGTTAGTCTTATTTTGTTTGTCTGAAACTCTGGATCCTCTAGTCCTAATAAGTAATGGTTTCTTTTAAAAGTTACGAAAATTATTTCATAGTTACCTAAAAGTCTGAATGTCTCATTTTAAGTCATACTTTGATTTTGAGAGTTGTAAAGAATTTTATTTACAAAATCAAAGCAAAAAAATTATGACTATATTATAAAATGCTCAATTGACAATATATCAATAAAATATTTACTGCTAACTTGAAAATGAATTTACAGATGTTAAAAAAACAGTTTCTTAATTTTTCCGTATCAGCTATTATTACAGCTCTAAACTCTAATTAATCGTTACCTTGAAGGTCCATTTTAAAAGCCATTGATATTAGCAGATGTCCAGGACTGAAATAAAAAGCAGAGCACAATGGTGTAGTCCATAGGAAGTTGCACTGCTAACCCCAAAGTGCACCTCACTGTTAGTTCAAATGCAGGGGCCGTGGAGAAAGGTGGACAATCTCCTCCCACACAGTTTATTGCCTCTGAAAATCTGCTTGGAGGTTCAGCTTTGAGTCACTTCTAACTCCATGGTAATGAGAGAGAGTCCAAGTTAATCATGTGATCATGTGATATTTTTTCTTAAAAATTTGGTCATTTACAGATTTGAGAAGCAAATACATTACTAAGTCGTATCTTCTTTGTGTTATGCTTCTGCGCATAGTGCCTCATCCATACTAAAAATCAAACCAGTTGCCATCAAATCAATTATGAATTATAACAAACCTGTAGAACAGAACAAAACTGAGTTGCCAAAGTTGTAAATCTAATAACCTAGAGGTAAGGAATTGTGCTGTCAACCTGAAATCATGCAGTTCAAATCTAACAGTTGCTCAATGTGAAAAGATAGATAATCTCTTCCATTGCTTAAAAGTCAGCTAAGAATTATACTGATACTACATAGTAGACTTCAGCGAATAGAGTAAGTTATGATGCAGAGGGGACAGAAAACTCATGTCTTTTTCTCTGGTAAAGTCTCCTAAGAAAGATTTCCTTTGCAGGGGGAGGGGAGGATTAATTATGGGGTAGGATGATTTGATGGGTGGAGGTGGTGAGGAAAATTGGAAGAATCTGTCCTGGAAAACAATGTATTTGAATTTTGTAAATAAACTAGGATTATAATTAAAAAAATTTAAAAGCTAGGAAAAAACCAAAGAAAAAAATAATGCCTAAATTCAGTCCAACTTCAATTTTCCATCACCTGCCAAATAATTTAACAGAGTGGTTTAGACAGTTAGAAAAGAAAGATCAGTGACTTGGTTGGGTCTGTGTTAGAAGGTGAGTTGATGGTAGTGGGAATCAGCCTCTCACTCACAGAGAAAAACACAGGCAGAAACAAGGCAACTCATCCTAATGGAGAGGTCTTTAGTCAAGGCAGGGAATCTAGCAGTTCAGTCACGTGGACCAGGTGAAAAAGGGAAAGACGAAAGGGAAAGGAAAGATGGCTGCCAAATGTCCAAATACTCATATCAAAGGAAGGCACATTTCTTTGGACAAGAGCCAGACAATGCTGAGTATTTAGGATTAAAGTCTGAGGTTCTACAGCTGTACTGATCTGGGTGAGTGGTATCTGACAATTCATATATTATTTATTAGTGCCTGTGATAAATTGCAATATTAAGAATGCTTAGGATAAGACTCTTTTTCCTATGGTAGAGAAACACAGATGGATGAAGTGACTTGTACAAGAGTCAACCTGTGGCAAATTCATTAGCAAACTCACTTTCCTAGGCTTTTCATCCAAAATGTTCTCTACCTCTTTCTGTGAGTGATTGTCTATATTTTAAACTAAAGACAAGATTGTAAAGAGAGACTGCTGTGTTTCAAGTTTCTTTTTGCTCCATGCTACTACAGCACAATCTAACTAATTGCATCCCCAAATAACCCTAAAGAAGTAGGATCTACATTACTCTTTTCATATTTGTTGTTCTGAGGTGCCTTCTGCTAACTGCTCCACTGAGTTCCTTGATGTTTTATATGCTGCAATCTTCATGGGAGCTGATTTTCTCCTGTGGAGTCACTGATTGGGTTCAAACTACCAACCTTTCCATTAGCAGCTAAGCATGTTACTGTTGTACGATGAGAAACCCTTGCTTTAATATTTAGGATAATATTAATAACACATTAACTCAAATATAATCTCATTTAAAGTTCCTCTCTTGGTGATTGTTGTTGCTGTTGTTATGTGCCATTGAGTCACCAGCAACTCATAACTACCCTATATACAGCAGTCCTAAACCCTGCTCGTTCCTGTGCCAATCTTATCATCTCTGACACACCAACCCCCATTAACCCAGTCATTGAATCAATCCATCTCATTGAGGGTCTTCCTCTCTTGCACTGTCCCTCCACCCTCGCAAGCATGACTTCCCTCTCCAAGGACTGGTCTTGCCTTGCAACATGTCCAAAGTATGCAGATGAAGCTTCAGAATCCTTGCATCCAAGGAACAGCCTGGTCTCACCCTCTCTAGGACAAACCACTTTGTTTTCTTAGCAGTCCATGGTATATTCAATACTCTTCTCCAGCATCACAGCTCAAAGGCATCAATTATCCTTCTATCATCCCTAGTCATTGTCGAGGTCTCTGAAGCATAGCAAATAATTGCAACACACTTTAATTGTCAACACTCCCAGTTCATGATTATAACTATATTGGACAACAATATCTGTCCAAAATGGTAGAAAATCCCACAATTGCATTTTGGGTGCTATATAAGGTCCCCTCCACTCACCCTAAAACATGAGTGAGTCTATTTACATGGGGACAGGGGAAGCAACACAAAAATTAAAATCTACATATGATGATCAAAATAACTAAGGCCCATATGGAAAAGCAGTTGTCTTTGGTCCGTTGTCTGTTGGAAATTTTACAAAATAGCATAAAATTTTATTCAGTCTGAATTGAGAAGTTCTTGTCATAAGTGATTATTTAGTCTGCTCTACAAGTTTTAAATTAACCACTGAGTAAGTTGTCAAAACAGTAGCACTGTTAGAAAGCCTTACGTATATAAATTCAGCCACAATTCCCACATCGGCTAACTACACTATACTTTTAAAATATATTTGTTGTTCTTTCCTTTCTCTTTTTACTCAGAACTATATCAAATATATTGGCACCAAATTATAAATATTCTGAATACTGTTAACTAAGAGCACTCTTTAGATTATGACATTTACAAATATCAAGGCTATTTCAGGATCAACACTTTTTTTGGGGGATGAACATTTTTACTAATTGTAATTACTGTCTGTCAGAGACAACAATCCTAATTGATGCTGGAGAATTCTTCAAAAGGTTGATGACCTTTCTAGTTGTATCTCCTTTCATTAGTTAAGTCTTTCTCAATTGTCACATTGCATTAGATATGTGCACAACAGTGCAGGGAATGAGAAGCAGTGAAAGGTTGTAGGTATTATGTTTTAATGAGACAGCATTTCTGTTGAGTCTGAACGCCTGCAGTTGGTTCAGAATATAGTATTTCAGTTAAAAACTGTGACATGTTTAGCAAACCACGTCTTTATTAAGGTAGGCGAGATAGAAGCATTATAAGAACTCCTGTGTGACACAATTATTACACCTGCAGTTCTAGGAGCACGAAAGAGACTTTTTTTCTAGTGAGGCATCCTGAGCTCTGGTAGTATGAAACTCTTTACTTTTTTTTTCCCCTTAGGTCCTAAAGGGTTTCCCAGAATGCTTGCAAGCTGACATTTGTCTACATCTCAACCAGACTTTGCTGCAAAACTGCAAAGCCTTTCGGGGGGCAAGTAAAGGTTGCCTTCGAGCTTTGGCAATGAAGTTCAAGACCACACATGCACCTCCGGGAGACACTCTGGTTCACTGTGGGGATGTCCTCACGGCACTTTACTTTTTATCCAGAGGCTCCATTGAAATCCTCAAAGATGACATCGTGGTAGCTATTTTGGGTGAGTGTTTTAGAACTAGGCGATGACAGATTTATTTATTCTTGCAGCTCTGGTGTCACTGCCTGTAGGGAGTTGGGCTGCTAACCCAGTGACCACGCCTTTCTGGAGGTTCAAATTCACCAGTGACTCCATAACAAAAAGATGGACAATCTACTTCTATAGAAATTCAAAAGAGGGTCAACTATGGGTCAGTTCTGACGGCAATGAATTCTGAGTGATTGTTGTAGAACAGGATGGTAACAAATTCATTTGTGAAGTGGGGATGGGAATTTTTAAAAAAAACAATAGTAAAAGGACTGATCTATTTATGAATACTGTCTAAATAGAAGGGTAATTTAGAATTCAAGTCAAACAACTTTGCAGAAAATATGTTGTCATTACTGTCTTGTTTTCCCCATCCTCTGATGTATAAACACTTCCATGACACCTTTTGGTTCTTGGCATCGACTTAGACATTTGAGGCCAAATAAATGAAAATAGTTAGCTTTTTGCTTTTTTATGTGAGAGGATCTTGGATTCACTCTTAATAGTTTTTAGTGTTTACTGTTGACTCAAATGATGCATAGCTTATCCTCCAGAGGGTTTCAGAGATAGTTAATCACACTGGAGGAGACTGTCCATCCTTCTCCAGTGAAGCCCCTGATGGATTTGAACTGTGTGCCTTCGGGATTGCAGTGCAACTTCTTACCACTGTGATACCAATCTATTACTTTGAAATAAAATGTGCATATTCTAGGCATCTGTGCTCTTACGGGCCAGTGCCTTGGCATGGCCTGGCTCCATGATTTGATGAATTTCACCCATTTGCGGTGCACTTTGTGATGTTCCATCAAAAGCTTAATTTGAGTCCTTGACTTCAGTAGTAGAGAGCTGTGAATACAACAGATAAGGATGCAGGTGTGAAGAGATTGAAGTCATTAATAAACTAAATGTCAATGTAAATATAAAATAGTCTTTATTATCATTCTTTAAATATAACTTTCTACTCAACAAGCATGAATTGATAGGAATTCTGCAAATATTATGACAATAGGAAGAACCAGAGCAGAGAGAGGGAGTCAATTATATTTTCTTGATATCAACCCAATAGGTTTAAATCCAACTTTTCCTATGAAAATATGTATGTCAATGGTTAGTAGAAATTTGAACTTATCTTTTCCCCTGTAGATAAAATGTGGTTCCATTTAAATAACTGATATAGCATAAAATTCACCTTTCCTCAACCTCTCATGTAAATATATGACAATTCGTTCCGAAAGTCAGAGATGTTGTCTATTTTATTCACCATTGTGTATAAGCAAGGTCTGGCATAACACACATTGCAAATGTATGACTTACTTTAATAATTTATTAGAATGACAAGTTTTTAAAAAAAATCCCAAAATGGAAATAATGTAAATTTTGTTCCCAAGTGAATAAGCATATAGAAAATAAAACCATATTGTAGATCACGAGAATCCACTCAGTTGGGTTTTCACTAGATTTTCTCTGGTATACTTCCAGGCAACAAGCATGCTTCTCTGCCTTTCTGATCTTTGAATCAGCAATGCTAACTTCTGTGGGAAGATAACAAGCCTTTTTGCTTTGTAAAATAGTAATTTTAGGATGTTATTAAGCAGTGCTCACTAACGGCACTTACTCCTTGCTCATTTTTTAAAAAGTCTTGCAGGCTAATTAAAATACAAAGCTAACGCTGGGTTTAGTTCAGAGTTTTTTCCTTTGATCCTGAAGTATTAAAATTTAAAGAATTTCAGCAAAGTGTCCTTTTCTATCCCAATTTCCATGTAAGTTAAAACCTGTAGTTCTCTCAAATTATGATTGTTCATTATATTTTTGAAAAGCTAGTGAGCATTCATTTAAACTCAAGTTCATGTCTTCTACTACAATTTTTTTCAAAGACTAAAATATGATATTAATTTCTCTCTATTAAATTCTATGTTAAATTAAGACTATTCAAGATTTTTTGCATTTGTGCTTTGACTTGTTAGAATTTTATTGTGTAAAATCTTTGTGGTTTCAACAGTAGGATACACTTGAATTGTCTACCAAAACTACAATAAACATCAAAGGATATTCTTATAAATGCAAAAGAAACTTCAGAATAGGATAAGAAATATTATTTTTTTCACTCTTTATTGTTGTTGTTATGTGCCATTGAGTCACCTGCAACTCTATATACAATAGCTCTGAACCCTGCTCGATCCTGAGCCTGTCTCATTGTCTCCAAGACACTTACCTCAATGCTCCAATGACTGTGTCAGTCCATCTAATCCAGGGTCTTCCTCTCCTGTGATGCCTCTCCACATTTCCAAACATTATGTCCCTCTCCAAGGACTAGTCCCTCCTGGAAACATGCTCAAAGTATGTGATACTGAGCTGCAAAATCCTTGTTATTAAGAATCTTTAAAAATTTATATTATCAAGTGTTTTAACATTATTACTAGAGCACCTTGGAGCCAGAATGCATAGACATTAATCCTGGCTACCTGGTCTCAAGCAAGTCAAAGGTCAGGGCAAGGTTCAGATCTGTTGCTCAGAGGGTCACTATGAGTCATAGTAGATTCGACAGTCGACAGTATATGACCCCTCTTTCTCCCTCACCTCATAGTTATGGAGTCTCTATGGCTCCATCTTGAATTGACTTGACCACAGCCATTGCAGGGTATTTTCTTTGGTATCTGGATACTTTTTTTAATTCTTTCTCTATTTTACTCAATTAGCAAAACACTATTGGTTTACCTTTTTAAGTCTTCTTTCCATAATAATAAAATTTGGATAATAGTTCATTATTAATGGAGCTATTGCGGAATGAAATGATGTACGTAAATACTTGATACAGGGCCTAGCGCTGAGTTAGTCTGATTAACATTTGTTGTTATTGTTGTTCAGTTGTCATAATCATCATCATTGGACAGACATTGAAAATTATGTGGCATAAGAATAGGCAAAGAAGATGGAGAAGACTTATCCTGAGCCAAACATTGACATAACCCCAGGGTAGGTGGGAACAGAAGGAAGACAAGGGCAAGCAGAACAAAGGCCCTCTGAGAATGTTCTGACTATGTATGTTGAGATTATACAGTCATTTTTGTTAAATCATTGGACAGATTCATCAAGGAAATTGCTAAACAGTTATTAAAAAAACAAAAAAAAAGATATATTCAGATTTTACTCTTACATTCTAAGGTTGATATGTCAGAATTGGCCTAGTGGTGAGAAACTGGACTGCAGTCCCAAAAGCAGGCACTTCAAATCCACCAGCTTCTCTACAGGAGAGGGCAAACAATCTCCTCTGTACAATTAATCACCTCTAAAAAAACCAGCTGGAGGGTCATCTATGTAGGTTCTAAGTCTAAATAACAACACAAAACAATCACTTGCTTAGAATGTCCAACAGAGAGACCTTCTTGTATTAACAAGAACATATGCAAAAATATTATTAAAATACTCTATGGCAAGACTCATTGCTAACACTGTAAGGCATACCAAATTTAAGATATGTTTACTACATTTTAGACACTTAGCCTAAGGACTAAAAATAAGGAAAAGATAAAGATTATACCAAATAATGAAGATAAGAGGTAAAACTCCACTCAGTAAATATATTTTGAACAGTCAACGCCAGTTCTAGAATTTTGCTCGTCTTTTGACCATGAAATCTTATAGTTGAAATCACTTGTTAAAGATTCAGTCAATATTCTCCTCCTTCTTTACAAGAAAAACAGTAAGTTTGGATATCCCTCTAGCTCATTTTTTTTCTTTTTAAGGAAAAAATGATATATTTGGAGAAATGGTTCATCTTTATGCCAAACCTGGGAAGTCTAACGCAGATGTAAGAGCACTCACATACTGTGACTTGCATAAAATCCAACGAGAAGACTTGCTAGAAGTTTTGGATATGTATCCAGAGTTTTCTGATCACTTTCTAACAAACCTAGAGTTGACTTTCAACTTAAGACATGAGAATGCAAAGGTATGTGGAAACTCTTTACTTCCTCTTGAAGTGTGGAAATCTACATTATATTTTTAATAAATTGTCTTTTCATTGTTATCGTAATGAATGTTTAGGGAGAAGTTAGATTTTCATTCATTCATTGCTGCACAATCTTTCCCGTCCCCCTAGTTATCTTTGCAATGATGTAATATTTACTTGCATAAAAATTTCTGAAAGAGCAACTGAAGTATTAAAATAACACTTTACTTTTTTATTTTGTTTTAGTATTTTGAAGGAAAGGCTATGTAAATATGAAAATTTCTCACGTATTTGGTATTTATTAAGGAATTCAGCCTAACTACCTTCAACTATGTTGAACAACTTTAGTAGATAGTTAAGATTGACCTTGTAGGAGCCCTTTGGTGGCATATTTGATTGAAAATATGCTTGATTTATATTAAATGAGCTAATTATTTCTTTGAAATGGGATATTGAACCATTATTAAGAGTTTATCTACTACAGATGTTAAAATAGTCTTTCTTAGTTATTATTTACACTCTTTATATACATGTTAGTCATGTCATCTCAGTAAAAATTGAAAATTTAACTTAATTAAAGCTTAGGCCCATGTTTATAACAGTTTTCAAATTACAAAAGTATAAATTAATTAGGTTTTAATACTGTGAAATAAAAAAGAAGAAATGAGCATTTCAGAAAGAACAATGCATATTCTAATAGATTTAAAACTTCAAAAATTCTAAATGTTAGTTAACTGACTATTAATTTTAAGAACTATTTTTCACTTTCTTCTACTGTGAAAGTGTGATTTTTCACATCTTCTACTCTGTATATCTAGAATTTCTGCTGCAGCCCACAGTTTATCACATTTCACCGTTCCCCTTGCCCCACCATCCTGCTCCAATTTGGAATCATTTTTATTGAAATGAAATACTGGGTGTTTAAACTTTGCTAATGTAACGTACTACTAACTTAATATTCTTTCTGGAATAAAAATACTCAAGTCAGTATTTAGGTTAAAGGTCCATTCTTCATGGATTTCATTCCCAGACTCTGTGAGGAACTTAAAGAAAAACTTTTAGGGTCATTAGGTAGCCACTTAACATCCTAAAGCATAAGCTCAAATAAGTGCTTCTTTTTAAAACTCTTAAAAATATGGAAAATCGTTTAAGTGGTAAAAGTTTCATGCTGTCAGTATTAATCGTATTAAATAATTATTTTAAATCAGTACTTTATCAAATCACAATTCTCTAGAGTCGTTTTGATTTTGCCATGGAAAGCAGCAAACATTTACCTTGATCATTTCTTTATATTAATAATTATACAAAGATTCAAATAAGTAAAAGAGGTACTTCCATTCTTATTAACAAGATTGATAATACAGAATGGACCATAAGGAGAACAAAGAGGAGCTAGTAAGAAAAATAATGAGAGGTTTAAAGCATAGTGTTTATGGAATTCAACCTCATATTTATTGTTATATTTAATCTGACTACCATTATCACCGGGAACTCTGGTGGCCTAGTGGCAAGAAGCTTCACTGCAATCCTGAAGGCATATGGTTCAAGGCCACCAGCTGCTCTGTGGGAGAAGGATGGGCAACCTCCTCCCATGCAATTGACTGCCTCTGAAAACCTGCTGGAGGATCAGCTATGGGTCGGTTCCGACTCTAACTAGACCCCATGGTACACAACAAAAACCACCATTATCAAGTAACCTAAAACACCATAGATAATTAGTTTATATGTCTGTCTCTGAGGTAATAGAGATTCTGCAAAGGTTTTAATGTATTTATTGTTATTTTTCTTTCACAAGTTACAAAAAACACATTCTACATAAAGGAATATTTGGTCTCTAGCTCATATCCAGTTATTCAGCCTAAAGATTTCTTATGAATAACATCTAAAATTTTATTTCCCCATCAGATGTCACAACTACAAGATTTATTTAATCTATTTTATAATTTAGTAACAAGCATTAAGTAAAGGATTTGCCTGGATTTGAGTAAGTGTCAAAGTGGTTGGAAAGATATGAAATAGAAAAGAGTTTACTCATAAAACCTTATGTTCAAATTGGGTAACTGTCCATTTTATTTTCATGTTTCATTAACAAAGGCTGATCTCTTATTACGATCACAATCAGTGAATGATTCTGAAGGAGACAACTATAAACTACGAAGAAGGAGATTGTCATTTGAAAGTGAAGGAGAAAAAGGTAATATTTTATTCTCAAAATTTAAATTTAGAGCATAAAATTACTCGTTCTGATTTTAAAGATAAATGTCTTCAGGTCTTTAGAAGGGTAAATCCTGTGCTTTATTTGGAAGCTAATAATGCATTTCTAATTGATAAATCTCAACTATGTCATTCAAAAAGTTATCTGATATCTATGATGACATTATTGATCAATTGAAAAGAACGGAAAAAATGGAGGTAAATTAAATAGTTTAATAACTACAATTCTGAGTTCTCTGTTCTGGAGGGAAGACTTTTATGAGCTCAGTTTTATTGCAGCTATACATGACATGGATGAAGGTGAAAAGGTTTTTAGTTCTCTTTACTCTCAAACTCTCTTTGATACTTATTCTGGAGCACCAACTCTTTACATTTTATTTGAATATTCAACAATTCATTTAACATTTTCAGAGCACACTGAATACTCTGAGAAACAAATTGCATGCCTAGGCCTAGGAATGCAATTTCTGGTCATGTGACATTTTTTAGTTTTTGAGGAACCACAACACTGTCTTACACAAAAGGAGACTTGTACATAAATGCGCATTATTCACAAAAGCTAGATGGTGGAGACAACCTATATGCTTATCAACAGCTCAAAGGATCGACATACAAGGGAATACTGCTCAATGTGTTAAAAAAATGAAGTCTTGATGCATGCTAGCATATAGAAGAGGCCTTTTGCTGAGAGAAATAAACCAATTACAAAAGGAAAAATATTTCAGGAAAGGAGAAATACTTCACTTAGAAAAAAAACCAAAGGCAGATGTTTATAATTCAAAGACTCATTACAGATTCCTAACAGTGAAAGAGATAAGGGGGGGGGGCTAGTGGTGATGTGAAAAACACATTGATCAAAGGTAGGATCGAACAAGTGATTGTTCTTGTTGTTGCTATGTGCCATCAAGTCAGAACCAACTCATAGCTGATTCTCCAGCAAGTTTTCAAAAAGAGGCAGTAAATATATGTGAGGAGACTGCATACTCTTAACCCATGGAACAGCTGGTAGATTGGAACTATATGCCTCTGAGATTGAAGCATAACTTCTTACCACTAGGCCACCAGAGCTCCCTGCTGCCAATAGTTCATGCACCTTTAGAAATTGGAGGTGGAAAATGCTTCATGATAGAAATATTTACAATGACAAAAAGAAAACAAGAGTAGCAACTGAAACCACTAATGTACAACCAAACACCTCATTGGATTCTATTCCTCTGTTTGAACAGATAGTCATGATTGCATGGTCCTTGAAGTGCATTGTCCTACCAAAATGTTTAGTGTGTTTGCTTTACCTCTTAGTTGATTGTGCAATGCTCAAGGTTTAATAAGTTAATAAGGGACCAAACAAGTAAAAAATTGCTCTGTATTACTTGGAGCTACAGATAAGGAGGGAGAGTCAAGAATATGAGGAAAATATGGAATGAGTCCACTGCTTTTCTGACAGTTTATTGTCTTTGGTGACTTGTCTGTTCTTAGAATACTGGAATCCAAGCCACCTATATTGCAAATACCCAGAGAGAATAAGTTAAAGCAGAGCTTTCATATTAGAACAGATTAGGAAGAACCAGACAATATATTTTTAAAACATTGACCATTGAGATAATTATGAATAGGGTGAGAACATTATCTGATACATGATTGGAAAGGTACTCAAAATATGACTAGGGACAAGCTGCCTACTCAAAGTAGAGCTGACTGTAATGATTGGGGATAAATTGAAGTTTCTATGACCTTTATTTGCTAATGAGGCCTCAGTGAAAGTGAGAAAAAGCAACCGAAAGGTGTCATTAATAGTCAAGATGTGGAACACATAAAATGTAAATCTGGAAAATTGAAAGTAAAATAAAAATGAAATTAAATACAAACAGATCAGTATGCAAAGCATGATGAGCTACAATGGACTGGCGTTGGTCATTTTCAGACAATCATATAGTCTGCGTTCTGGAAATGACAAATTGAAGAGGCCTGACATCATAATCTGTTGAAAGAACATTTTATAATCTCTCCTGAAATAAAGCACTGTCAGTGATAGGATAATATTCATATTATGTGTCATTTAAAATTAAGATTAGTGTGTGTCAAAGTTGAATCTTTTTAGCATACTTACTCAACTCTACGCTGAGCAAATAATTTGAGAAACTGAACTCTGAAGAACACAGCATCAAGATTGGAAGAAAACTCATTAACAACCTATAATATGCAGATGAAACCACCTTACTTATTGAAAGCAAAAATGACTTGAAGCATTTATTAAAGAATATCATGGAAGCCTTCGGTATGGATTACATCTCAACTAACAGAAAACAAAAGTGTCCACAACTGAACCAATAAGCAAAAGCATGATAAACTGAGTAAATACGGTTGTCGTTAAGGGCTTCATTTTGCTTTGATCCACACTCACTGCCCAGAGAGAAGCAATCGAGAGATCAAAGACATATTGTGTGGGGTAAATCTGCTGCAAAATAGCTTTCTGAGGTTTTAAAAGCAAAGATGTCGCCTTGAGGACTAAGGTGTGTCTGTTCCAAACCATGTTGTTTTCAATAGCTTTCCACAAATGGGGAATCTGAATAATGAATAAGGAAGACTGAAGAATTGATGCATTTGAATTAAGGTATAAGTGGTGAATTCTAAATATGCCATGGGCTGCCAGAGGAATCAATAAATCTGTCTTGGGAGAAGTATTACTGGAATGTTCCTTGGAAGGAAGAATGGTGAGAGTTTTGTCCCATAATCTTTAGACATATTACCGGGAGGACCTAGTCCTTGGAATAGGATATCATGCTTAGTAATGAAAGCAAAGGAGGAAGACACTCAATAAGGTGGACTGACAAAGTAGCTACATTTTGAGGCTAGCACAAGAATAGTCAATCTCTTGTTCTGTTAAATATAGGATCTCTGTGCTGCTGAACCTACTGAATGGCACTTAAAAATAATGCAAAGTATAACTATTTACTTCATGAATAACTGCCTCTTTTGCTATAAAACTAGAACTGGGTGGTGCTCAACATTTTCATCCAAGATTCCATTGAAGAATCCTAATAAGAAAGGGAATATGCAGAACAAAATCTACATTTCTTCTGGGCTCTTGACTTTCTGGAGCTCTGAAAGATGTATCAGTCCCTGAAACTATTACCCCAAGATAATCTTTAAACCTTAAGCCAGAACAAAGGAAATTGCACTCACCCCAAATGTGATGCCTCTCTGGTAGTTCAAATCTGCCAACAGCTCCATGGTGTAAAAATGGACAATGTACTCTTAGGAAATAAACAGCCTCAGAAAACACAGTGGAAGGACAGCTCTGAATAGGTTCTGACTACAGCACTGAATGAACCAGTGAAGTCCCTGAAGTCTTCTTAAAACCGAACAACAGTTTAACTTAATTAGTTTTATAAAAATCTGCCTTGAGCATTATGCTCTTTTAAGATCTATATGGGATCAAATTTAAACTCCAAAGATTAAATAGAAGCCTTAGGAGGCAGTGAATTTATGTTAATGACAGGAGGATAATTCAGAAACGAGCATGAGAATGGCTGCACAACCAATGATACGTATGCAGTGTCACGAAATTGTCACATGGAAACTGTTGAAATTGGCATATATTTTGCTGCATATATTCCCAACAACAACAAAACAAATGAAATTTAGAGGTAGAGGAGAAAGGCCTTTTCCTCCCTGTGGAGGGAGATGTATATGCTTCCATAATTTCAAATACAAATAGGAAGTGGCCTAATGAGAATAAATTCCTCACAATTGAAGCCTAGATCAATTCCTCACAATTGAAGCCTAGATCAGAGTACTTTAAATTATACCTGAACATATTAGAGAGACTTTTCTCAAGAAATAGCAGCAAAAAGCCACTCATGCCCTATGCTGATCTAATAAGCATTCTAGTCTTCCCTTTTACTTGGCCTTTCAGCAGCATATGTCATTTTCTCTTCTCCCTCTTACACACTTTTCTTTTGGCATATGTGACATTGCGTGCTTCCTGTTTTTCTGCTGCTGTTATGTGTGATTGAGTTGACTACAACCCACAGCAATTCACGAACAATAGCTTTGAACTCCTGGGCCAACTTCACCATCTCTAATACACTTGACCCCTATGGCCACAGTAACTGTGTCAATCCATTTTACCAGGGTCGTCTTCTATGCTGACCCTGTACCCTTCCAAGCATGATGTCCTTCTTCAAAGACTGGTCCCTCCTGGCAGCATGCCCAAAGTATGTGATACAGAGCTTCCCACTGATTTTCTCATTTTTTCGCAGAATCCTTATGTTCTAAACTCATGTGTTAGTTGTTAAGAGCTTCTCAAATCATGCTCCTAAGTATCTTCTCTCGTTCTAAATCCTAAATGGGGAATCTTTAATGGGGTCTGCCATTTCCTACATTGTCAATCTTATCTCTTTCGATAATTCCTCCTATCACTTCTTTTCCTTTGTAGCGTTAATTCCAGTTTTACTTCTAGATGTAATTTCACTACTATGTATCAACATTATCTGTGTCTAGATATCAGCCATGAGTTGACGAGTATTTCATTTTCTGGAGCATCAGTATATGTTGTATAGTTGGTGCTCAAAACAATGAATTTTGATGAATAAAATAGAATTTAAGGTTCTTCCCATTGATTCTTGCCCTCATTTTGCCTTCTTACTTCAGGCACTTTTCTTAATTTTCTTTTTCTTTCCCTCTAATTTTGTGCTACAGATGATCATCTCTACATATCAAGTTTACAATTCTTCCTTGTTAATTATCTCTATGTTTGTGTGTGTGTGACCATTTTAATTGAATATACTTCCTGTGTAATTAAACACACTTTTACACATACATACATCAGCCACTAGAGAGCTCTGGGAGTTAGTGGCATGAAGTACACTACTAACCCACATACTTCAAACCCATCAGCTGCTCTGTGGGAGAAAGATGAGCAATCTCCTGTGGGATTTACAGTCTCTGAAAACCCACTGGAAGGTCAGCTATGAGTTGATTCTGCCTAATTAACACTTAGCAACAGCACATCATACACTACCCCACAATTTTTAACCCATTAAAATTACAGTTTTCCCCCATGGTCAATATCCAATGACACCCAATAGAAACTCTTCCTTGTTGTCTTCTAAAATACAAGAGTTCTTTCTTTTAGAAATTCCTGAAGCACTTTCCTCTCTTGCTGTTGTTGTTGTTATGTGTTGTCAAGTTGCTTGCAACTCATAGCAACCCTAAGTGCAACAGCCCTAAACCTTGCTCTATCCTGTGCCAATCGCACTGCCTCTGACACACCGATCCTGATTTCCCCAGTCACTGGATCAATCCACCTCATAGAGGGCCTTCCCCTCCTACGCTGTCCCTCCCCCGTCCCAAGCATGATGTCCCTCTCTAAGGACTGATCCCTCCTTACAACATATCTAAAGTATCTCAGACGAAGCCCCAGAATCCTTGCCTCCAAAGAGCAGCCTGGTTTAACCCTCTTCAGGATGAATCTTCCTCTCTTACGATTACATAAAAATCTGTCTTGCATTGAAGTTATTGATGTATTTATTCTATTTCTTTACCAAAGTGTAGGTTCTTTTAACTAGTAACTCTGTAAGTATTTGTGAAATTTGGTTCATTATTGAAGCTTCTAGCCAACTGTAGAACAATAAGCCACTCACAAATAGGTGATAATTTATTTCTGCAGCTTCTTTCATTATTCCCTTTGTGGTTTTTTTCCAAATCAGAAGTATTACTGTCAATCTGTTCTTTCATAGAGTTAATCTAAATCTCTTATTCTGAAGTTAATCTCCCATTTTTATCTTGCTGGAAATGAAGAACAGCTTGACAATGTTGTCTATATAGCAATGGTCCCCATACAGTTGAAGGTTTATTAAATCTCCTTTAAATCTTGTTCACTTTCCTCATTCTCAAGCTAAATAATCTGATGTTTTTATCTTCTGATAAGGCCTCAAAAGCATGTCACAATGTATTTTGTGCTCACGCAACTAGACATTTTGATTGATTCTGGAAATGTTCCCTTTAATCACAGACTTAGTCTATCAGACCCATTTTTTATAAAATGAAGTTGGTAAGGGATTTGCCTGCTTGCAGGGCTGCGAAGTTTCCTGGTGTGTCAGGTTGTTAGTGTCATTTATTAAATGTAAAAACACAATTAGCTGAAGAAATTAGGAAA